TGTGTGTCTGTGTGAGTCTGTGTGTGTGTGTCTTTGTGTGTGTCTCTGTGAGTGAGTCTGTGTGTGAGTGAGTCTGTGTGTGTGTCTGTGTGAGTGAGTCTGTGTGTGTCTCTGTGTGTGAGTGAGTGAGTCTGTGTGGGTCTGTGTGTATCTCTGTGTGTGTCTGTGTGTGTTTCTGTGCGAGTGAGTCTGTGTGTGTGTCTGTGTGAGTGAGTCTGTGTGCGTGTCTCTGTGAGTGAGTCTGTGTGTGTCTCTGTGTAAGTGAGTCTGTGTGTGTGTCTGTGTGTGTGTCTGTGTGTGTGTGTGTCTGTGTGTGTGTCTGTGTGAGTGAGTCTGTGTGTGTGTCTGTGTGAGTGAGTCTGTGTGTGTGTGTCTGTGTGAGTGAGTCTGTGTGTTTGTCTCTGTGTGTGAGTGAGTCTGTGTGTGTGTGTCTCTGTGTGCGTGTGAGTCTGTTTTTGTGTGTGTCTCTGTGTGCGTGTGAGTCTGCTGTTATATTTTTCTTTGGATACGCGTTGGCTCTGAGCCATAAACCCCGTGTTTGTGTAACCGGGTGTAAATGTTTGTGTACGTTACACTCGCGGGTAATGATTTGTGCGTTCTCACTTTCACTGTTGGACAACCTCACAGCACTTGTCCCAACAGTCGACGTAGCCTACATGGGGGGGTGGAGCTTTGCCTGTGCGTGTCTGTGCGCGTCTGGGTGAATGTGAATCTGTGTGCGTCTGGGTGAATGTGAATCTGTGTGCGTCTGGGTCAATGTGAATCTATGCGTGTCTGGGTGAATGTGAATCTATGCGCGTCTGGGTGAATGTGAATCTGTGCGCGTCTGGGTGAATGTGAATCTGTGCGCGTCTGGGTGAATGTGAATCTGTGCGCGTCTGGGTGAATGTTAATCTATGCGTGTCTGGGTGAATGTGAATCTATGCGCGTCTGGGTGAATGTGAATCTATGCGCGTCTGGGTGAATGTGAATCTGTGCGCGTCTGGGTGAATGTTAATCTATGCGTGTCTGGGTGAATGTGAATCTATGCGCGTCTGGGTGAATGTGAATATATGCGCGTCTGGGTGAATGTGAATCTGTGCGCGTCTGGGTGAATGTTAATCTATGCGTGTCTGGGTGAATGTGAATCTATGCGCGTCTGGGTGAATGTGAATCTATGCGTGTCTGGGTGAATGTGAATCTGTGCGCGTCTGGGTGAATGTGAATCTGTGTGTGTCTGGGTGAATGTGAATCTGTGCGCGTCTGGGTGAATATGAATCTGTGCGCGTCTGGGTGAAGGTGAATCTGTGCGTGTCTGGGTGAATGTGAATCTATGCGTGTCTGGGTGAATGTGAATCTATGCGTGTCTGGGTGAATGTGAATCTGTGCGTGTCTGGGTGAATGTGAATCTGTGCATGTCTGGGTGAATGTGAATCTGTGTGCGTCTGGGTGAATGTGAATCTATGCGTGTCTGGGTGAATGTGAATCTGTGCGTGTCTGGGTGAATGTGAATCTGTGCATGTCTGGGTGAATGTGAATCTATGCGCATCTGGGTGAATGTGAATCTGTGCGTGTCTGGGTGAATGTGAATCTGTGCGCGTCTGGGTGAATGTTAATCTATGCGTGTCTGGGTGAATGTTAATCTATGCGTGTCTGGGTGAATGTGAATCTATGCGTGTCTGGGTGAATGTGAATCTGTGCGTGTCTGGGTGAATGTGAATCTATGCGCGTCTGGGTGAATGTGTATCTGTGTGCATCTGGGTGAATGTGAATCTGTGCACGTCTGGGTGAATGTGAATCTATGCGTGTCTGGGTGAATGTGAATCTGTGCCTGTCTGGGTGAATGTGAATCTGTGCGCGTCTGGGTGAATGTGAATCTATGCGCGTCTGGGTGAATGTGAATCTGTGCGCGTCTGGGTGAATGTTAATCTATGTGCGTCTGGGTGAATGTGAATCTATGCACGTCTGGGTGAATGTGAATCTGTGCGTGTCTGCGTGAATGTGAATCTGTGCGCGTCTGGGTGAATGTGAATCTGTGCGCTTCTGGGTGAATGTGAATCAATGCGCGTCTGGGTGAATGTGACTCTATGCGTGTCTGGGTGAATGTGAATCTGCGCATCTGGGTGAATGTGAATCTATGCGTGTCTGAGTGAATGTGAATCTGTGTGCGTCTGGGTGAATGTGAATCTGCGCGCGTCTGGGTGAATGTGAATCTATGTGTGTCTGGGTGAATGTGAATATGTGCGTGTCTGGGTAAATGTGAATCTGTGCACGTCTGGGTGAATGTGAATCTGTGCGTGTCTGGGTGAATGTGAATCTGTGCGCGTCTGGGTGAATGTGAATCTGTGCGTGTCTGGGTGAATGTGAATATGTGCGTGTCTGGGTGAATGTGAATCTGTGCGCATCTGGGTGAATGTGAATCTGTGCGCATCTGGGTGAATGTGAATCTGTGCGCGTCTGGGTGAATGTGAATCTGTGTGTGTCTGGGTGAATGTGAATCTATGTATGTCTGGGTGAATGTGAATCTGTGTGCGTCTGGGTGAATGTGAATCTGTGTGCGTCTGGGTGAATGTGAATCTATGCGTGTCTGGGTGAATGTGAATCTATGCGTGTCTGGGTGAATGTGAATCTGTGCGCGTCTGGGTGACTGTGAATCTGTGCGTGTCTGGGTGAATGTGAATCTGTGCGTGTCTGGGTGAATGAGAATCTGTGCGTGTCTGGGTGAATGTGAATCTGTGCGCGTCTGGGTGAATGTGAATCTGTGCGTGTCTGGGTGAATGTGAATCTGTGTGTGTCTGGGTGAATGTGAATCTGTGTGTGTCTGGGTGAATGTGAATCTGTGCGCGTCTGGGTGATTGTGAATCTGTGCGCGTCTGGGTGAATGTGAATCTGTGCGCGTCTGGGTGACTATGAATCTGTGCGTGTCTGGGTGAATGTGAATCTATGTGTGTCTGGGTGAATGTGAATCTGTGTGCGTCTGGGTGAATGTGAATGTGTGTGTCTGGGTGAATGTGAATGTGTGTGTCTGGGTGAATGTGAATCTGTGTGTGTCTGGGTGAATGTGAATGTGTGCGTCTGGGTGAATGTGAATGTGTGTGTCTGGGTGAATGTGAATCTATGTGTGTCTGGGTGAATGTGAATCTGTGTGCGTCTGGGTGAATGTGAATGTGTGTGTCTGGGTGAATGTGAATGTGTGTGTCTGGGTGAATGTGAATCTGTGTGCGTCTGGGTGAATGTGAATGTGTGCGTCTGGGTGAATGTGAATCTGTGTGTGTCTGGGTGAATGTGAATCTATGTCTGTCTGGGTGAATGTGAATGTGTGCGTCTGGGTGAATGTGAATCTGTGTGCGTCTGGATGAATGTGAATGTGTGCGTCTGGGTGAATGTGAATCTGTGCGCGTCTGGGTGAATGTGAATCTCTGCGCGTCTGGGTGAATGTGAATCTGTGCGCGTCTGGGTGAATGTGAATCTATGTGTGTCTGGGTGAATGTGAATCTGTGTGCGTCTGGGTGAATGTGAATGTGTGTGTCTGGGTGAATGTGAATCTATGTGTGTCTGGGTGAATGTGAATCTGTGTGCGTCTGGGTGAATGTGAATGTGTGTGTCTGGGTGAATGTGAATCTGTGTGTGTCTGGGTGAATGTGAATCTGTGCGCGTGCGTGGCGGGAGTGGTGGTGCAGCGGTTAGCGCGGCGGCGCCGCGAACTCTGCTGGCAGCCCGAGTTTGATTCCCGCTCACGGCCAACATCAGCGAGGAACATCTGAAGTGGGCCCGTGCCTCCTCTTGGTAGACTCAGCTTGCGTGCTTTGAACCGACACTGCCGGACGTATGTTGCACTCCCAGAAGGCTGGTGGGTCGTGTTAAAAAAAAAACACTTCATTTTTGTGTACGTGCAGGGAGCGATGTGCTTATTTATTTAGCCAGAGGACCTCGTTAGCCTTCGCTTGGCACGAGGAGGGTGGTCGAGTGCGGTGACGTCACTATAGGGGGGAGGCGGGGCGGGTGGAGGGCGTGGCGAGTGGAGGCTACTGGGGCGGAGCTTATCGCCAGGTGTAACTCCACCCCTCGTCTCCGCCTCTCCGCCGTCTACTCCCGCCCACCGGTCTATCCCTTCCTCCGTGGCCCCGCCCACTCTGTCCCCTAATTTGGCGAAGAGGGCGGAGACTTTTTTTACGCTGCGCCTCTGCGAATCGGAGCCGTGACGTCACTTTCTACTGGGGGGGGGGGAGGGGGTCGTTCGGTGGGGAGGGGGTGACATCCCCCCCCACCAAGCCCCGCCAAACTGTGACGTTGGCGGAACGTTCTGCCCAGGACGTTGTGGGGGGGTGGGCAGGGGCAGCGGGGGGAGGGGCTCGCATTCTGGATAGGCGGGGACCAGGTTCGAGCTACAGCTCCCGCCCTCTGCTGAACCATCCCACCGAGGGTGGGCGTGGCTCGCGGGGTCGTGGGCGTGTCTCGATGCGTCTTGGATCGTGGCTCGAAGCGTCGTGGGCGTGTCTCTAAGCTTTGTGGGCGTGTCTCTAAGCTTTGTGGGCGTGTCTCGCGTCGCCGCGGGCGTGGCTCGATCCGCCGCGGGCGTGGCTCGATCCGCCGCGGGCGTGGCTCGACACCGTGGTGGGCGTGTCTCGACACCGTGGTGGGCGTGTCTCGACACCGTGGTGGGCGTGTCTCGGCACCGTGGTGGGCGTGTCTCGATGCCCCGCCCCCCCCATATGCCTGGTCGGGTTTTCCGCGGGGGTTTAAAACTGACCGCCGATTTGGCGCCGCAGCGCAGCCCCAGTCGCGACCCCCGCCGCCCGCCAGCGGCCCGCACCGCCGCCGCCGCCGCCGTCGTCTCGATCCGCCCTCATCTCCTCTCATTCACACGGCGCAAATCCCCGGGATTTCAACCACGGAGCTGGGATCTCAGAGGTCTTTAGTGCCGACGTGTCTGCCCCCCCCCCCATCACTCCCCCCCCCCTTCCCTGCTCCCACCCCTCTACCTTACCCCCCCCCCTCCATTATCCGGACCCCCCCCCCCCCCCTACCGCCCCCCAACCAGCACCTTCCCCCGTGGTGCCCCCCACCTATCCGAGGTGGCGACGCCGCAGCTGATGGAACCTCGGCCGGGCGTGAGGATTTAACCTTCCGAGGGGACCCCGACTAGCGGATATCCCCCTGTCCCGTACCCCCCCCCACTACCCAGCCCCCCCCCCTCCCCTATCTTCTACCTCCCATCAAACCCCTCCCCTACCCCCCCCCCTCTCCCCCCACTCCCCTCCTCGTGAGGCCACCACCTTGCGCAGCGATTTGGAGGCGATTAGAGGCGATTAGAGGCGCCGGCGACGCTGCGAGGATGATGGACGCGGGGCCCCCCCCCGTGCTGAGAGGCGGCACCGCAGACGAGCACGGTACGAGCCCCCCTCGGGCAGCAGTAGCAGGATCATACAGGCAGCAGTGGGAGAGCACGGGCAGCAGTAGCAGGGTGCTACAGGCAGCAGTAGCAGGATCATACGGGCAGCAGTAGCAGGATCATACAGGCAGCAGGATCATACAGGCAGCAGTAGCAGGATCATACGGGCAGCAGTAGCAGGATCATACGGGCAGCAGTAGCAGGATCATACGGGCAGCAGTAGCAGGATCATACGGGCAGCAGTAGCATAGGGGCAGTAGCAGGATGCTACGGGCAGCAGTAGCAGGATCATACGGGCAGCAGTCGCATAGGGGCAGTAGCAGGATCCTACGGGCAGCAGTAGAATAGGGGCAGTGGCAGGATCATACGGGCAGCAGTAGCAGGATCATACGGGCAGCAGTCGCATAGGGGCAGTGGCAGGATCCTACGGGCAGCGGTATCGTACGGGCAGCAGTAGAGCAGTGACAGGATCCTATGGGCAGCAGTAGCTTACGGGCAGCAGTAGCGTATGGGCAGCAGTAGAATAGGGGCAGTGGCAGGATCCTACGGGCAGCAGTGGCGTACGGGCAGAAGAGTGCACGGGGCAGCGTACACACACTCACCCTGCAAACACATAAACTCTCATTCATACACACAAAGATACACACATACATATACTACACACATACACACATATATATCCTACAAACATATAAACCACACACTCTACACACACATATATATATACTTCACGCACGCTACACACTCTACACACGTACATATACTACACACATACACTACACACATACATATACGACACACATACAAACTAACACACTGCACACATACATATACTACACACACGTACACATGCATACTACACACAGAGACATGCTACACACTATACCCACACACACGCGTTGACACGTTTTCACACATACACGTTTTAACACACTCATACACGTTCACACACACACTCATACACGTTCACACACTCATACACGTTCACACACACACTCATACATGTTCACACACACACATACACGTTCACACACATACACATTCACACACACTCATACACGTTCACACACACTCATACACATTCACACACACTCATACACGTTCACACACGCACACTCATACACGTTCACACACACTCATACACGTTCACACACACACACATACACGTTCACACACTCATACACGTTCACACACACTCACACGTTCACACACTCATACACGTTCACACACACTCACACGTTCACACACACTCATACACGTTCACACGCACACTCATACACGTTCACACACACACATACACGTTCACACGCACACTCATACACGTTCACACACACTCATACACGTTCATACGCACAATCATACACGTTCACACACACACATACACGTTCACACGCACACTCATACACGTTCACACACACACATACACGTTCACACACACACATACACGTTCACACGCACACTCATACACGTTCACACACACTCATACACGTTCACACACACATACACGTTCATACGCACAATCATACACGTTCACACACACACATACACGTTCACACGCACACTCATACACGTTCACACACACTCATACACGTTCATACGCACAATCATACACGTTCATACGCACAATCATACACGTTCACACACACTCATACACGTTCACACACACTCATACACGTTCACACACACTCATACACGTTCACACACCCTCATACACGTTCCCACACACTCACACGTTCACACACTCATACACGTTCACACACACTCATACACGTTCACACACACTCATACACGTTCACACACACTCATACACGTTCACACACACTCATACACGTTCACACACACTCACACGTTCACACACTCATACACGTTCACACACACTCATACACGTTCACACACACTCATACACGTTCACACACACTCATACACGTTCACACACACTCATACACGTTCACACACACACTCATACACGTTCATACGCACACTCATACACGTTCACACACACACTCATACACGTTCATACGCACAATCATACACGTTCACACGCACACTCATACACGTTCACACACACTTATACACGTTCACACGCACACTCATACACGTTCACACACACACTCATACACGTTCACACACACACTCATACACGTTCACACACAAACACACACGGACCAATTGAGCAATTCACCAGCATCGATTCGTCAAGTGAGCGTGACTGCTGATGAGACACCTCAATGTCGAAACCGGTCCAGAGTTGTTCGCTCGCGCTGAAATGATGCGCTCCCTGGAAGGCGCACGTGCGGCTGATGAGATTGTGTAACAAAAATGTCACGTGTTGTTTTCGTTATGCGGAGATACAGAGATTAATGGAGGGGGACACGTTGCTCGTCTATTTCGTTATTCGTGGTGCAATAGCGAATCGTAAAATCGAACACACGAATACAAAGACAAAGATCCCCCCGTATAGCCTTCGAGAGACTGTTGGGGCAAGTGCCGTTAAGCTAACACGAATGCCGGCAACGGCACACGTGGGGTGGATGGGTTAGCACCCCACACACGGCCGCCTTTGTCTCCCTCGTGGTTCCGATAGTGGCCACTGGTGTTGGTGGCCGCGAGCGGGAATCGAACTCGGATCACCGGGTTCGAAGCGCAGCGTTAACCGCTTACACCACCACCACCACCACCGCTCCCCACTCACCGTCGCACTCACGAACATCCAACAAGCACGAGCTGGTGACCGATGTAACGTTTCCGTAATTGCTTTTTTTTGGTGTCAAATCGCAGCGAGTACGCGATGCCAATTTGTGTCGGACACCCTCCGCCAACAGGACACTCACACAACATATCAAAGATAAAGATCCCCCATATAGTCTTAACAGACTGTAGGGGCAAGTGCTGTTAGCGAGCACCTATGAAGGCCGGAACGATACACGAGGGGGTGGGTGACCAGCACCACGCCCGACCGCCTTTGTCTCCCTAATGGCAATGTTTACACATCGCGCCAGGTACTCATTTGAGGCTGAGTCGACCTAGGGGAGGCCCGAGACCGGTTCAGATAATCGCCACTGATGTTTGCCGTGAGGAGGAATCGAACCCGGGTTGCCGGGTTCATAGCGCAGCGTAGCGCTAACCGCTACACTACACATCACGCGCACACCCACGTGCTCGCGAAGCGAAGCCCGTCGCACGCACCCACGCAACATCTCTGGCACGCAGAGTGTGCAAAGTACACGAGTGTGTACACACAGATAGGGCGTAATCACGCACCAGTACAAACAGAGACAAAGACGCACACTCACGCAGGCTGATAGAAGAATTACAAAAAAATCACTCCGCGCGTTTACGCACACATTCACACAACTCGAAGGCACAGATCCCCACCCAACTACCCCGTAGAGCCGCAGCAGACTGTCGGGGCAAGTGATGTTAGCGAGTAGCAGCACCTATGAAGACCGCCACAGCACACACACGAGGGGGTGGGTGGCCAGCACCGCGCACGGCCCCCTTTGTCTCGCCAGCGCTGATGTTTTACGCGCAGCACCAGACACTCGTTTGAGGCTGAATCGACTTAGGGGAGACCCAGGACCGGTTCAGATAATCGTCACTGGTGTTGGTGGTCGTGGGCGGGAATCGAACTCGGGTGGCCGGCTTCGTAGCGCAGCGCGTTAACAAAGATTAACACGCACGCGTATACGCATGCAGGCGTGTGCACTCGGATACAATATTCGCCCGCCCGCTTACTCATTCACATATACATACACTCACTCATTCACCCACACAATCACCCACTAACGCACTCGCACTGTCGTTTAAACCTATGCTCGCCCGCACACTCGCGCGCCCGGGAACTATTTCGCTCCCAAACTTTCCACCCACTCCTGCGCGCCCAAGCAGACATTCACACGTGCTCACTAAATTCACTCACACCCGACTTCGTTCGCACATAAAAAAACTCACCTCTCTTGTGCAGCATCCATTGCGTTAATTCACTCGTGCGCTTACCCAAATATTCACCAAACCACTCACCCATTCGCACACTATTACAATTGCTCATACACTCACCCGATTTCACATACACATGCTCATACACTTCATCACACATGCATGCATGTACCCCTCTCACCTGCCAACTCACTCGTACGATTACTCACACACACACACCCGCTCACCCATAAACTCACCCCACCCATTCACAAATACCCACTGGCCCATGTAAATGTCCACTCACACATGCAAATAGCCCCTCATGCAAATACCCACTCACCACCCATCCACTCACTCACCCACCCACTCGTACAGACATCCATCCACTCACTCACCAATCCACACACCCACTGGTACAAATACCCACTCACCACCCATCCACCCACTCACCACCCATCCACCCACTCACCACCCATCCACTCACTCACCCACCCACTCGTACAGACATCCATCCACTCACTCACCAATCCACCCACCCACTGGTACAAATACCCACTCACCACCCATCCACCCACTCACCACCCATCCACCCACTCACCACCCATCCACTCACTCACCCACCCACTCGTACAGACATCCATCCACTCACTCACCAATCCACCCACCCACTCATACAAATACCCACTCACCACCCATCCACCCACTCACCACCCATCCACCCACTCACCACCCATCCACTCACTCACCCACCCACTCGTACAGACATCCATCCACTCACTCACCAATCCACCCACCCACTCGTACAAATACCCACTCACCACCCATCCACCCACTCACCACCCGTCCACTCACTCACCCACCCACTCGTACAGACATCCATCCACTCACTCACCAATCCACCCACCCACTCGTACAAATACCCACTCACCACCCATCCACCCACTCACCACCCATCCACCCACTCACCCACCCACTCGTACAGACATCCATCCACTCTTTCACCAATCCACCCATCCACTCGTACAAATACCCACTCACCACCCATCCACCCACTCACCACCCATCCACTCACTCACCCAC